TGTTGGCAGCCAAGCGGACCACGAGCTACTCAAACCAAAGAGTCCGTATGTCCCAAGGAAGCGCGGCAGCAGGGAGGCCGCGACAGATGTTGTTCCGGGTGTCGCTCCCCCGGCTTTGAAAGCCATCCCTTATGTTGTCAAATTGGCCGAGTCACCCATCCCCAAGGACCTGTCCAACGCTTTGATCACGGGAGCGCCACAGGACCGCCCCGCAAACATTCGCAGGTTGTTTATGCCGCCAATTTGGAACAGCGACACTTACAGCAGGCACATGAAACACCTCATCTGGACCGAGGAGTTTCAGATGGAGTACCTATCTCTTTATAGCTTCGTGTACTCATTTGCTAACGCTTTTTTAGACACGACTTGCAAATTTATGATACTGATGCCAAATTAGACAAACATGGGGTATTTTACCAGTACGTTCCTCTTGAGGCATGAATCACTGCTTGCTCGCTCACGTATGACTTTGTAGCCTTGACGTTCCAGGATTGGCGGAGAACCGTCCAAGTGTCCTCGTGGGTCAGTAGCTAGACTTTCCGTGTGCCCGTGGTCTATTCCAGCTCACTCCTCGCGCATTCCAGGTGACAAAATTTTAGCCAAGCCGAAGGGCTCCGAAACCAGTCGTTGGTTCTCGGGCGGCGTTCATTTTGTGCGCAAGGAGTCTGTGGGCCTGCGCTTTGACCCGTCCTTCAAATGGACTGCGGGCCAGGTATATAACATCAGATTCAAGCTAAACCGTATACCGCTCCGCCGGCAACATCAGGCACTCGATACCGCTTTCAAACAAGATCGTGTCCTGTTCCCGAGCCCCGAGCATATTCAAGGTCCTCTCAATGCGAACGTGCATTTGAACATCGTCAATAAGTTGATCGCAAATAATCCAAATCAACTGCTGGCTGTCAAAGGTATAGTCGGTCAGCAAGCTGGTGCAGTCCCCTTCGTCATTTTCGGGCCGTAAGTGATTTGTGCTTCAACGACTCACTTTTGCTCAACCGCTTTACTAGACCGGGGACCGGCAAGACCGTGACGGTCGTCGAGGCGATTCGCCAACTTTACTTGACCAAACCTACCGCCCGTATCCTAGCATGCGCACCCAGCAACTCGGCAGCTGACCTCATCGCATCGAGACTAAGGGACCTTGGGCCTACCGTGCTCTTCCGATTTTACGCGCCCTCCAGGGCCCAAAATCAGGTTCCTGACGAGCTTCAGCCCTTCATTGCCACCAAAGTGGACGGCCACTTCACCGTGCCCCCCATGGCCGCCCTGAAGCGCTTCCGCATAATCGTTTCTACATGTGTCTCAGCGTCGTTTCCGTATGGCGTTGGCCTACCCCGCGGCCACTTCAGCCATCTATTCTTCGACGAGGCGGGTCACGCGACAGAGCCGGAAACTATGATCGCTATCCAGACAATGGCGGATAATGCGACAAATATTGTGTTGAGTGGGGATCCGCGGCAGCTGGGTCCAATCATTAGGTCGGATGTCGCGCGCCAGCTGGGGCTGGAGACTAGTTACCTGGAGCGGCTCATGAACGATGGGATGCACGACGAACAAAAGGCACATGGGAGAACGTATGTCGATCGCACTCTTCTCGCATCAGATAGCAATCTCATTCTATCACAGGGTCGTCAAACTCGTCATGAATTTCCGGTCTCACGGCGCCATCCTTAAATTCCCCAACGACCAGTTCTACAGAGGCGAGCTGCGGCAATGCGGAGATCCTAAGATCATTAACGCCTACATTGGCTCTTCCCACCTTGTCTCAAAGAAGTTCCCGATTATTTTTCACGCAATATCCGGACAAGATGACAGGGAGGCTTCGTCTCCATCATTCTTCAATATCGACGAGGCTACTCAGGTCAAGAAGTACGTCCAAGCCCTTCGCGCCGACCGCCAAATCCATATAACAGATCAGGATATTGGTGTAATCGCCCCATATCATGCCCAGTGCAAGAAGCTCAGGACGGCACTAAAGAGCGTCGACGCTGAAAGTGTCAAGGTGGGAAGCGTCGAGGAATACCAAGGACAAGTTCGTAGTTTTGAAAGTTCATCGCGATTAATTTCTTCTGACCGGTCTATAACCCATCCAGGAGCGCAGGGTGATCATCGTTTCAACCGTCAGGAGTAGTAAGGAGTTCGTCAGCTACGACCTGAGGCATACTTTGGGCTTTGTCGCAAACCCGCGCCGATTCAATGGTGCGTGGAATCATTTCATTTCCAGAACCTACTAAAAAAATTGGCACAGTTGCCGTAACGCGTGCCCAGGCACTTTTGATTGTCGTCGGCGATCCGAATGTTTTATCGCTGGATCCGCTCTGGCGGTCTTTCCTCAACTACGTTCACACCAACGGGGGATGGAAAGGGCCACCGCCATCATGGGACACGCTCGCTCCTGTGAATGAAGATGGAAGCTATGCTGAGGGAGTCCGCGCAGCGGGCTTGGAGGACATGAACGACTTCACGAGGAGGATGGAAGCACTGACCGTTGCCGGGGTCGATGAAGATCTGAATGCTGCGGACTCGGCGAATGTGGACCGGCCGTGGAGGGTCTTGGAGTAGGTTATTGATATATCTGCGGATGTGATTTATATTTTGTGAATTGAATATTCAGAGGCCCTTTCTGCCCCACTCATGGCATTCTTAGACTTCATTGTTTGCGACTCAAAAAGTTAACTTAAACTGCTTGAACTTGTGGCTACTGTCCGAGCCCTTTGTAATCATATGTGTCGGTCTATATGCGGGAGGTCGTGGCTTCAATTTCTTGAACGTGCTTCAACGGTTCTATGGTCTAGTTGGTTATGACGGATGCCTCACACGCATCAGGTTCCCGGTTCGATCCCGGGTGGAATCATTGTGTATCTCAAGACTGGGGATGCGAGCAACCAGAGGATGCTAATCAGTGCTGATGGATGGCCGCACTCAGATTGATTTTTTTGTGTCAAAGGGGCCCAGCTTAAGTTTTACATCAGCGCCACATTGTTCACTCTTACTTGCCTCCTACAGTCATCACCTCTAGCATTGCATTCGTGTAAGTCACAAGCCAACTTCCAGGTCACTCCAAACTCGATATGCCTAACTCCTGCTTTGTTGGATTTTGGATTCCTGCGCTCGCAGCGCTTAGAAACATCGTCTCGGCAATTGATGCATCGATAAGCTACGCAGAGACGATGGTACAGTTCCGATTCATCGAACTGGCCCAAAGTTTCCCAAGTAAAGCTAAATGTAATGCCGCAGAGAATAGCTCAAAGCCCATAGCCTTCCATCGGAAATCTTATCCCACTGATCTTCAAGATACATCGCGATTTTCATGGCGAGTCTACGACAAAGCATGTGTTGTCACCAGTTGTCACCCGTTCTGCTTTGTATAAAAGCCCCACTACAACTACATTTTCATCACCATCATCTTTTAGCCCTACACACACTCTGCTCCGTATGGGACACATATCTCCATTCTCCCCCAAAGACTGCGGAGGCTGAAAACTCTCTTGATCACATGTTTACCGGGTCCTCTGGGAATCCATTGGTTTCATTCACCGTCAACCTCGATCAGAATGCGCAGCTGTGTCTTAAACTTTTAATTTCTTGGATCACACTTCACACTATTCTCCTCGAGCCCTCCAGGGACCAGAGCACCTGCTAGTCTGGTTCTTTCGCCTCTCATCTCTGGCGCTCTACCGCATCCCACGAGGATCACTGTGGCATGCCTCGTCACCATGTGTATCATCTGACATCAGCACACCATCGTGCACCCTTTGACTCGGATCGCCGGGATCATACAAGCAACACCACGCTTGGATATCCTAAGTCTCTTCTTTCCAAATGTGTCGCTGACGCTACGGCTAGATGAAACCATGTCTGATATATCCCAAGCTCCGATTGCTCTCCCTCCATAAGATGCTCGAACGGGTTACGGAGCTTTCTGATGCAATTCCCCACACAAATGGAGTTGAGACTTTGCGATGATGGTCCATTTATCACCCGAAGATCAACATCATTGAAAACCTTCGGAACGTGAGCCTCGAGTTGTCAACTTTCTTGCAGAGCTACCGACTTATGCTATTCTTCAGCAATCAAGGTCGTTCCAACACACATGCGGCTCTTACAAACCAATGCATTTCGTCTGTTTCAAAAAAAAATTATCGTGCATCTGAAAGCTTCAACACCGTTCCCATGATACACAACTCTGTTTCGAGCGCCTTCAGCGACACCGTCATCAACCTCTATCACGCCAATGTCTTCAATTGGATCGGCCAAGTGACGTGGTGTTGTACGGGGTCACCGGTCAATGTTCGCGTAAGTGCCTCGACCTTTGCAAAAACTTGAAGCTCTCGAACAGCTTTCCTTTCTCTTCGTCCCTTTCACTCCAAGCGGGCCGTCAGACACGCAACTTGTCCGAATTTTTCTATACCCCACCCGCCGTCCCTTTACATACTGTAATACTGTTTGCATTTAAGATCGTGTATTCTAGCAGCCACTTCACCTACATTAGCTCCCTGTGTATGCTGGCCTGTGTATGCTCCCAGTAACACTCACTAGGGCATTTGAGCCGGCGGCCCCTCGAATCTCGTCGTTGGGGTCGCTCTCCAATTAAATGATGTTTACCATCTCATCGCCCTGCCCTTCTCCGAAGAGCGGGAGCAGGCATTGAATACCATATTACAGCAGCGCCGTGCGCCTTAGTATTACTTACACAGGCCCTTTGCCTTTGTGCAACCTATTAGGCTGGTGTTCTCAATAAATACAACCCGTCATGCTCGTTACGTGCGACCCCTGGTGCCACCACATCATCCGAATCGCTGCAACTTCCGTCTCTCAGGTGCACATCTTATAATTAGTGATTGTATTTCCTTGGCTCATCCACATTCCCACCAATTTACACAGTGAGCGTACATTTAATATCATGCTGAAGTAAGCACATAACTTGCCATGTACATGTGGTTGAAGTTCTCTACCACGGGTGGTCGGATTGTAGACCAGCTAGCTCGCCTCTCTTCAACGGTTCTATGGTCTAGTCGGTTATGACGGATGCCTCACATCTTGAACGCATCAGGTTCCCGGTTCGATCCCGGGTGGAATCATGTTTTGCCCTTTTGTCGGGACAACCGCCGTTTTTACCATATACGGTTTCGGTCGCCATGAGCGCCGAGGGTTTGAATGAGTAAAGGAGATAGTACAATGTTTTCAATACAAGCCATTTTCATCTAATTTACACAAAGGAAAGCAATACTTTTGCTGTGGCTTGCTATTCGGGACTCCAAGTCGCGCATCTGCTTTTGGAAGTCGTTCATTTCTTGTTTCAATGCATCCGCTCGAGCAGCGGTAGCAAGGTCTTTCGGTGCGGCCCAGAACCTGCGGGCAAAAGCAGTTAAGATCTTAGAAGAATCCTCCTGCTCAATCGCTTTCGCCCAGGAAGAGTCGGAAGCGGCTGACATCACCCTGCGAGCATGCTATTGGACAACTTATTAGAGATACGTCAAGCCAAATTGCAGAGCCTTACCTGTGCATACCGCTCAAAGTTCTTGGCGTAGTCCTCTGGATTACAATTGAGCCAGACGCGCAGAACGCGCGCAATCGATTCCTCCTTAGAATCATCGTCCAGCTTGCAAGTACTCGTCAGCGTGGGCATAGACACGGGTTGGATATTCACCGACCGTTTGGCGAATGATCCCATAGTCAAGCGTAAGTGGTACTGAGCGACGTTCCGCTCGTTCGGCCATGCGCCGGCTAGCAAACCTTCCGGGCAAAATTGCGCTCAGCGATGAATCGACTGTGCTTGAAAGACGCTTACCAGGTTATTATCTGTTTCACCTTGACACCGAACCGGTCTGCGAGTTCCTGCTGATCTGTCGGGCTAGGGAAGGGCATTCTTTGATACAAAATCTCCAACTCCAACTCTCCCTTCTCTGAGATAGGAAAGATGGGGACGGCCCGGGCGGGCAATTCGTTGTTCTTACGCGCCCTTTCCCGGCGGCGGACAAACCTGTAAAAAGGCGAGACCATGTTGAGCTCCTTGAGATAAATGAATTTCGCGAGGCACGTACCAAGACTCGATTTTGGAACCAATTATACCCCACTTCCCAAATTTGGAGCTGCGTTCATCCAGTGAAGGATATTTATTCTTCTTGTAGTAGGCCTCCAGCTCTGCGATCTGAGCTTTGGTATAGCGGTAGTGTGGTTTTTCTGCAGGTTTGTTGCGCTTGATCTTCTTGACGGACCGCTTGACGGGCAAGGTTGCTGATAGCGGCGTTGTAGGTCTTTTCCTTTTGGTTGAATCCATGGTGGAAAATAGGAGGGATATTGCAAGCAGAGTGGGGGATCAAGCAGACAGCTGAGGCAAGAGGGGGAGGGGGAGAAGCGAACCGCGACAGGAAAGTCGAGAGACGTTTATGTACCTGCAGCTTTGCAGCATATAACTGCAGTCCAGCATACAGTGCTTGAGATGACGCGCGGCATGACGTCGAGGGAATGCGAACAACGAGTACTTAACAGAGAGACTCAGCGTCGCGTACACTCGGCCGGACCTGGCACGTGAACTGAATTGCGTGCTCAAGCCGCAGACATTGAGTCGGTTGGTTTGGTTTCAGTCTATGCAGCACCTCGAATCGCCGCCATCTTGAGCGCGCAACGGAATGCATAAGCACATGCCCCCCGATTTGCCGCCATCTTGAACCATCTTGAACTCGAACTCGAACAGCAGTCATACGATGTGTAGCACATTGATATTGAACATCAAAAACAGAAGTCTATTAACTATGTGCATGTTCATAGTCCAAAGACGAGCAGGCCGGGTTGATGCTTTAATTTAACTAGTTCAAGAGTCAAGAAGAAGCCGCTAAGAGAGATCGGACTCACCGCAGGGCAAATGGCCCCGACTCACCCTGGGATCGTCGTTCCCATGCATTGGCCACTGCCCCCTTGAGCTGTACACTTTACGTTCTAGCCCACGTTCGCATTCAATCTCAACATCCTCGTGTCTCCGCCTCGCTTTTCTTTTGTTACGAGTTACGACGACCGCGCCTTCTCCATCCTACTTACTTCCATCATTAATCCCCATAGACAGACGGCGCCATGGCCTCATCTGAAGCGATCCCAGACGTCGTAGTGGACATCGATGCCCCTGGCCCCCCCATATCCATCCAAGACTCGGGCGAGGGCGGAGAGGGCGGCAAGCTCAAGATGATAGTAGCCCTCGTCAAGAAGTCCCTCGGTGTCAAGGACATCGCTGCCATGTTCGTCACATCTTCACACTCAATGTAGCCGTTCGCTGATACACCATGCGGTCTTTACAAAGGCGTCTCTCGCTCCCAGCCTCGCTGCTTGAGCCCATCCCAAACCTCGAGTACTGGCACTACCTCGACCGACCCGACCTCTTCGCTGCGTAAGTCCCTTGCCCCATTCCGCCATCATCATCTAATCGCATCATGTGATTGCATGTTACAGGATCAACGACTCGGAGGACCCGTTCGAGCGCATGCTTGCCGTCCTGCGCTTTGCGTTTACCAAGGACCTCAAGTTCATCGTGAGTCCCTCTCCCACCCCTGGCACCAGTTCATTCCCCCCGTCGCTTGACACTTCCCCTTCCGGCGCCAAGCAAACCGCTGACACCGCTCTCGCTTGCGCAGCATGGCAAGATATGTAAACCGTACAACTCCGTCTTAGGCGAGCATTTCCGCTCGCACTGGGACGTCGTTCCCGCACAGGCGAACCCGGACCCTGCGCACCCGCCTATACTGCGTCTCAACACCTCCCCCGAAGCCGCCGCCGCCGCCGCCGCATCCGCCTCGCACACCAATCTTTCCCCGGGCGGCGCAGGGGAGACTGCAAGCATAAGGAGCGGGATGAGCGCCAGCAGCGCCGGCACCGCGTCGAAGCGCAACTCGAGCGCCAAGAGCCCCAGCACCGCAGCGACCTCGCTCGACGCGGAGCTCGCGCCGCAGATGTCCTCGCTCTCCCTCGCGCAGGGCGCCGAGCGCGTGCGCGTGGTCTACATGACCGAGCAGGTCTCGCACCACCCGCCCGTATCCGCGTACCACGCCTGCTGCCCGTCGCGCGGGCTCACGCTTGCGGGGATTGACCAGATCAGCGCCAAGGTGTCCGGCACGACGCTGCGCGTATCGCCGGGCGCGCACAATAAGGGGATCTATGTGCGCATCGAGGGCAAGGGAGATAGCCGGGAAGGGGTCCGGGGTGCCGGCGAGGAGTACCACATCACGCACCCCATTGCGAGCGTGAACGGGATTTTGAGGGGGAGCTTCTACCTCACCGTGGGCGACTCCACAATCGTTACGTGCATCGGCGGCAAGGGTGACGAGTGGTTAAGAGCCGTGGTGGAATACAAGGAGGAGGTGTGTTCTCTCCCTCACAGCTCCAGAACGAACCTGACCTGATGCGTGCACAGAGCTGGTTGGGCCGCGCGCAGTACCGCATGGACGGCGTTGTGCATGCTTACAAGAAGGGCGACACTGTGCACGAGGGGTGGACCAGGGTCAAAGACGTCCCGAAGTCGCGCGTCATCGCTGAGTTCGACGGCTGCTGGCGAAACCGCATCCGCTGGCGCAAGGTCGGCGCCTCGCCTGCGTTCACCTCTGCTGCCAGCGCCAACGCCACCCCCACCGAGACCTCGCAGTCCTCCATAAAGTCGGGCACGTCGTCCACGTCGTCAAGCTCACGCAGCGAGTTCGAGCCGGCGGAGTACACGACACTGTTGGACCTGTCGACAGTGTACCCGATCCCGAAGACCGTGCGCTCGCTGGACAAGCAGCTCCCGAACGAGAGCCGCAAGCTGTGGTCGGACGTTACGGACCGGCTTGTGAAGAAGGAGTTTGGTGAGGCGACGAAGGCCAAGTTGACCATCGAGCAGAAGCAGCGCGATGAGGCTGCTGAGCGGAAGCGCACTGGTGCTGAGTACGTCCCTTTCTTTGTTCTCCCCCCCTTTTTTTCCGACGCTTTTGTCTGTGTTAAGCTTGTGCTGACGATCGCGTGTCACAGGTTCACCCCGCGCTACTTCGAGGAGGACATAGCGAGTGGGGTGCCCACACTCACCGAGGAGGGGCGCAAGGCGATCGCAGAGGAGCTGGCGGAGCCCTCATCCTTCTGCCTCGAAACGCATCCCGGGGACGTCGCCCCATCAGAATCAGAATCATAACCCTGCGCCATGCTCGGATTCCACTCGCAGGCGCAGCCCTCGCTCGGACACAACACGACGGTAGATGTATTATACTCCATATACTTGGATTTCCTGATCCTTCGACGACTTTCACGACCTTTCTTATCCCCAGACTTACATGATCGTTAACGTTTACCCCTCGTGCTATACCTTACCTATATGTCTGCGGTCGAATTGGTTTAATGTATTGCCCACCCATATAGGGCATTTCCAGGCCATGTCTCTTTTGAGTGAACATAGATTGGGCAGGGCCACCGACCTGATCGCCAACTCTGAGGCAAACTCCGCGGTCACCCTGTGCCTCCATATATGCGAGTACAGTTTATGCGATTGATATAGCCTGTCACCCCCCTTCCATGAGAATACACATACAGGCTCGGGTCAAGTACAAAGATCTGGCAGGTAATTTCGGAAATACTCAAATACTGATCAGTGGCATACAGTATGCTCTCTCTCGGATCCGCTCCCTATCACCGGTGGGGGTATTGAATATTGACTCGCTAGAGTATGGAATGTGTCTACGTGATTGCCGAAGATCCTCAGGAGAGCGCTACATAAGTGAGTGAGTGTGGGGTGGCTATATATGCTTAGATATCGATGGCTGCAGAATAAGTTGATTGCATCATATGCGCAGAGTGTTTGTACAATGTGTGGAATATGAGGGCATGGATGTCCGCGCGGAACTCCAAAGGCAGAGGTACTCTACAAGGGTGGGTATGTGTCATGGCTATCCGCGTGTCGGAAAGTCGTCAAAAGCGTCAAGCAGATGGGTCGGAGCTGGGTCGTCGAGGATGACAGTGTTCGAGGCTAAAGCAGCTTCGACTGCTTGAGGTTCTGCCGGATGACCATGTCTCGCACTGGGATACACACGTTAGCCAAAAAGAAGGAGGGAAAACGAAACTCAAGACGTAC